CATTACAACACCATGTTTCATTACAGCTACTCCCCCTAGACTAGCACAGGACCGGAAGCTTATAAGAATTCCTGCTATGCCCTCCTACAAACCATCCAGTAATGCGTACGGCCCAGTACATCACTGGGGCCAAGCTTCCTGCTATCCAGGACCTCTATACCAGGCGGTGCCAGAGGAAGGCCCTAAAAATTGTCAAAGATTCCAGCCACCCTAGTCATAGACTATTCTCTCTGCTACCGAATGGCAAGCAGTACCGGAGCGCCAAGTCTAGGTCCAAGAGGCTTCTAAACAGCTTCTTCCCCTAAGCCATAAGACTCCTGAACATTTAATCAAATGGCTACCCAGACTATTTGCTTTGCATTGCCCATTCCCTCCCCTACCCTAATTGTGCGCCCCCCCCATTGGTCACCCGGTTATGGCCGGCTACAGCAGAGCCTGGATTCGAAACAGGATCTCTAGTGGCACAGCTAGCACTGCGATGCAGTGCCTTAGACCACTGCGCCACTCGGGAGGTTAGGTTAGTTACTGGTTAAGGGCCTGTAAGTAATAATTTCACTGTAAGGTCTACACCTGTTGTATTCGGCGCATGTGACAAATCAAATTTGATTTGATTAAATTGTTCCTCACAGCTACTCCCCCCAGACTAGCATTACAATGCCATGTTTCCTCACAGCTACTCCCTTTAGACTAGCATTACAACGCCATGTTTCCTCACAGCTACTCCCTTTGGACTACTCCTTGGCCCACTTTAATAGTAGTAGCCTAACCCAGAATGACAACATTTGTATTTATAGTATTACTGATACAGTTGAAGTCGGAAGTTTACATACACTTAGGTTGGAGTCATTAAAACTTGTTTTTCAACCACTCTACAAATTTCTTGTTAACAAACTAGCGTTTTGGCAAGTCGGTTAGGACATCTACTTTGTGCATGACACAAGTAATTTTTCCAACAATTGTTTATAGACAGATTATTTCACTTATAATTCACTGTATCACAATTCCAGTGGGTCAGAAGTTTACATACACTAAGTTGACTGTGCCTTTAAACAGCTTGGAAAATTCCAGAAAATGATGTCATGGCTTTAGAAGCTTCTGATAGGCTAATTGATATAATTTGAGTCAATTGGAGGTGTGGATGTATTTCAAGGCCTACCTTCAAACTCAGTGCCTCTTTGCTTGAAATGAGGGGGAAATCTAAGGAAATGAGGCCTCAGAAAAAATTGTAGACCTCCACAAGTCTGGTTCATCCTTGGGAGCAATTTCCAAATGCCTGAAAGTACCACGTTCATCTGTACAAACAATAGTACGCAAGTATAAACACCATGGGACCACGCAGCCGTCATACCGCTCAGGAAGGAGACGCGTTCTGTCTCCTAGAGATGAACGTACTTTGGTGCGAAAAGTGCAAATCAATCCCAGAACAACAGCAAAGGACCTTGCGAAGATGCTGGAGGAAACACGTACAAAAGTATCTATATCCACAGTAAAACGAGTCCTATATCGACATAATCTGAAAGGCCACTCAGCAAGGAAGAAGCCACTGCTCCAAAACCGCCATAAAAAAGCCAGACTACTGTTTGGAGAAATTTCCTCTGATCTGATGAAACAAAAATAGAACTGTTTGGCCATAATGACCATCGTTATGTTTGGAGGAAAAAGGGGCAGACTTGCAAGCCAAAGAACACCATCCTAACCGTGAAGCATGGGGGTGGCAGCATCATGCGGTGGGGGTGCTTTGCTGCAGGAGGGACTGGTGCACTTCACAAAATAGGTGGCATCATGAGGAAGGAAAATTATGTGGATATATTGAAGCAACATCTTAAGACATCAGTCAGGAATTTAAAGTTTGGTCGCAAATGGGTCTTCCAAATGGACAATGACCCAAAGCATACTTCCAATGTTGTGGCAAAATGGCTTAAAGACAACAAAGTCAAGGTACTGGAGTGGCCATCACAAATCCCTGACCTCAATCCTATAGAACATTTGTGGGCAGAACTGAAAAAGCGTGTGCGAGCAAGGAGGCCTACAAACCTGATTCAGTTACACCAGCTCTGTCAGGAGGAATGGGCCAGAATTCACCCAACTTATTGTGGGAAGCTTGTGGAAGGCTACTCGAAACGTTTGACCCAAGTTAAACAATTTAAAGGCAATGCTACCAAATACTAATTGAGTGTATGTAAACTTCTGACCCACTGGGAATGTGATGAAAGTGGCACAGTGGTCTAAGGCACTGCATCGCAGTGCTAGCTGTGCCACTAGAGATCCTGGTTCAAATCCTGGATCTGTCGTAGCTGGCCATGACCGGGAGACCCATGGGGCGGCGCACAATTGGCCCAGGGTAGGGGAGGGAATGGCCGGCAGGGATGTACAGTGGGGAAAAAAAGTATTTAGTCAGCCACCAATTGTGCAAGTTCTCCCACCTAAAAAGATGCGAGAGGCCTGTAATTTTCATCATAGGTACACGTCAACTATGACAGACAAATTGAGAAGAAAAAAAATCCAGGAAATCACATTGTAGGATTTTTAATGAATTTATTTGCAAATGATGGTGGAAAATAAGTATTTGGTCACCTACAAACAAGCAAGATTTCTGGCTCTCACAGACCTGTAACTTCTTCTTTAAGAGGCTCCTCTGTCCTCCACTCGTTACCTGTATTAATGGCACCTGTTTGAACTTGTTATCAGTATAAAAGACACCTGTCTACAACCTCAAACAGCCACACTCCAAACTCCACTATGGCCAAGACCAAAGAGCTGTCAAAGGACACCAGAAACAAAATTGTAGACCTGCACCAGGCTTGGAAGACTGAATCTGCAATAGGTAAGCAGCTTGGTTTGAAGAAATCAACTGTGGGAGCAATTATTAGGAAATGGAAGACATACAAGACCACTGATAATCTCCCTCGATCTGGGGCTCCAAGCAAGATCTCACCCCGTGGGGTCAAAATGATCACAAGAACGGTGAGCAAAAATTACAGAACCACACGGAGGGACCTAGTGAATGACCTGCAGAGAGCTGGGACCAAAGTAACAAAGCCTACCATCAGTAACACACTACGCCGCCAGGGACTCAAATCCTGCAGTGCCAGACGTGTCCCCCTGCTTAAGCCAGTACATGTCCAGGCCCGTCTGAAGTTTGCTAGAGTGCATTTGGATGACCAAGAAGAGGATTGGGATAATGTCATATGGTCAGATGAAACCAAAATAGAACCTTTTTGGTAAAAACTCAACTTGTAGTGTTTGGAGGACAAAGAATGCTGAGTTGCATCCAAAGAACACCATACCTACTGTGAAGCAAGGGAGTGGAAACATCATGCTTTGGGGCTGTTTTTCTGCAAAGGGACCAGGACGACTGATCCGTGTAAAGGAAAGAATGAATGGGGCCATGTATCGTGAGATTTTGAGTGAAAACCTCCTTCCATCAGCAAGGGCATTGAAGATGAAACGTGGCTGGGTCTTTCAGCATGACAATGATCCCAAACACACCGCCCGGGCAACGAAGGAGTGGCTTCGTAAGAAGCATTTCAAGGTCCTGGAGTGGCCTAGCCAGTCTCCAGATCTCAACCCCATAGAAAATCTTTGGAGGGAGTTGAAAGTCTGTGTTGCCCAGCGACAGCCCCAAAATATCACTGCTCTAGAGGAGATCTGCATGGAGGAATGGGCCAAAATACCAGCAACAGTGTGTGAAAACCTTGTGAAGACATACAGAAAACGTTTGACCTGTGTCATTGCCAACAAAGGGTATATAACAAAGTATTGAGAAACTTTTGTTATTGACCAAATACTTATTTTCCACCATAATTTGCAAATAAATTCATAAAAAATCCTAAAAAGTGATTTTCTGGATTTTTTTTTCTCTTTTTGTCTGTCATAGTTGACGTGTACCTATGATGAAAATTACAGGCCTCTCGCATCTTTTTAGGTGGGAGAACTTGCACAATTGGTGGCTGACTAAATACTTTTTTTCCCCACTGTAGCTCAGTTGGTAGAGCATGGTGTTTGCAACGCCAGCGTTGTGGATTTGATTCCCACGGGGGGCCAGTATAAAAAAAAGTATGTATGCACTCTGGATAAGAGTGTCTGCTAAATGACTAAAATGTAAATAAAAGCTGAAATAAATAATTCTCTCTACTATTATTCTGTCATTTCACATTCTTAAAATAAAGTGGTGATCCTAACTGACCTAAGACAGGGAATTCTTACTAGGATTAAATGTCAGGAATTGTGAAAAACTGAGTTTAGATGTATTTGGCTCAGGTGTGTAAAAACGTCCGACTTCAACTGTAGATAGTGTGGCCTGACAATTCCAAATAGCATAGTTGAATTCACAAAACTCCCATGGATGGATGCTTCGCTCCTATCTTTGCAGTGACTTAGTCATCTCTTTATATTTACATAAATATATATATATATTAAATATATATATATATATATATCATAAAATGTATATTTGGTATATATTATACTCTTAAAATACTTTAAGATACCATTACTGCTTCATTTACATCAGCAGTATGACCACAGCTGACAACACTATGGATTTTCTGTCTCTGAGACATATGGTGGGCTGCATCCTCCGTGCTTTTAGCTTCTCCCCGCAGGTCTGGCTGTCCTGAAAAACACGCTTCAGAAGATGCAGATGTCACATCATGTGACAAATTAAGAAATGGCTGTATATATTCGGCTGTACATGAGGACTGTGGTCTGTGGCATAATTACAAACACACGGGCGAAATGGAGATTGTACCCCATATGCCAGATGAGGATTACTGTGACAGCCATTATAACATATTTATAAAATGTTTATACATGTTCTACAATGACAAAAAGAGTGTTAAAATGTGAGTGTTGAGTGTTAAAATGCCTTGTTCTACATCTCATAATTACAAACATGAAAAGGAGGAAGCTGTATTTTGACCCTGCTTCATACATAGGAGAATCCCTCTCTTTGATTTCTTAGAAGTCTTTTGATGTTGATGTGGCTTTGTAATGTTTAAATGACACGATTTGAAGTAGGTCAGACAGGGAATGACTTTGCTGTACTGAAGCTCTTTCTTCATGCATATGGAGACATCGTTGATCTCAACAAAGGGTTTACCTCTGACAGAAACAGAATGCAGTTCATAACAGCTGTGTTTTGGCTCATTTTCCAATGCCTGCATTTGAATGCCTGTACTTGACCAATAATGTTTCTTCTCCTTTGTTTCAGAGTCCAACCTCTCCAACCAGAAACCTCTCAGCATCACTAAGGATGCAGCCTTCCTTATGAGCAGTGATATAAAGAGCTGTACCTATCGGGATCGTCATTAGGTAAAGCCTTCTCCTACCACTCCAGAGGCCCATCCAATCCCATCCCTTCTCCTACCACTCCAGTGGCCCATCTCTTCTCCTACCACTCCAGATGCCCATCTCATCCCTTCTCCTACCACTCCAGAGGCCCATCTCATCCCTTCTCCTACCACTCCAGAGGCCCATCCAATCCCATCCCTTCTCCTACCACTCCAGAGGCCCATCTCATCCCTTCTCCTACCACTCCAGAGGCCCATCCAATCCCATCCCTTCTCCTACCACTCCAGAGGCCCATCTCATCCCTTCTCCTACCACTCCAGAGGCCCATCCAATCCCATCCCTTCTCCTACCACTCCAGTGGCCCATCTCATCCCTTCTCCTACCACTCCAGTGGCCAATCTCATTTACAGTCCAGACTTCCAGCATCTAGTTGGGTTACCTGGTGCACGACCAGACTTTGTCTCTGGAATGAAAGTGGGACTTTGCCAGACTTCCACCAGCCAAGGGTGACCTGTCCATGACCTGTCCAGCTCTACAGTACCACCTCCACCCGAACCTCTGAACCCAACCCAGTCCCCGGGATCCTCAGCCCCACCCCACTGCAGGGGAGGATGGGTGATGGACCTGTGAGTCTCCCTGGCCTCTCTCCTTCCATCTCTCTCATCCTCTCATGGAGCCTCCTTCTGACACCTCCAGCTCCCACTGGAACACCTCCACCTCTCTCTCCGGACCTCCAGGTTGGTACCCGCTGAGGTTGCAGAATTCTGGTACCCTTCCCAGAATGCCCATGGTTTTCCAGAAATCCTATTTAGAAGATTCTCGGAATCAGGAAGGAGTAAGCAGGAAATCTGGAATCCTCCAACCCGGATTTCTGGAAAACCTGGGAATTTGGGGAAGGTTATCCTAATTTTGTACTGACTCGGTAGACTTTGTGTTTATGATCTTTGATAATTTTGTGTGTGTGTCTATTGTTGTACTCAAATGGCTGAGGCAACTCTATATGTATTTTAAATACACTACCAGTCAAAAGTTTGGACACACCTACTCATTCAAGGGTTTTGCTTTATTTTTTACAATTTTTGACATTGTAGAACAATAGTGAAGACATCAAAACAATAAAATAACACATATGGAATCATGTAGTAACCTAAAAAGGGTTAAACAAATCAAAATATATCTTATATTTGAGATTCTTCAAATAGCCACTCTTTGCCTTGATGACAGCTTTGCACACTCTTGGCATTCTCTCAAACAGCTTCACCTGGAATGCATTTCAATTAACAGGTGTGCCTTAGAAGTTAATTTGTGGAATTTCTCCTTCTTAATGCGTTTCAGCCAATCAGTTTTGTTGTGACAATGTAGGGGGGGTATACAGAAGATAGCCTATTTGGTAAAAGACCAAGTCCATATTATGGCAAGAACAGCTCAAATAAGCAAAGAGAAACGACAATCCATCATTACTTTAAGACATGAAGGTCAGTCAATTTGGAACATTTCAAGAACTTTGAAAGTTTCTTCAAGTGCAGTCACAAAAACCATCAAGCGCTATGATGAAACTGGCTCTCATGAGGACCACCACAGGAGTGGAAGACCTAGAGTTACCTCTGCTGCAGAGGATAAGTTCATTCGAGTTACCAGCCTCAGAAATTGCAGCCCAAATAAATGCTTCGCAGAGTTCAAGTAACAGACACATCTCAACATCAACTGTTCAGAGGAGACTGTGTGAATCAGGCCTTCGTGGTCAAATTGCTGCAAAGAAACCACTACTAAAGGACAACAATAATAAGAAGAGACTTGCTTGGGCCAAGAAACACGAGCAATGGACATTAGACCGGTGGAAATCTGTCCTTCGGTCTGGAGTCCAAATTTGAGATTTTTGGTTCCAACCGGCGTGTCTTTGTGAGACGCGGAGTGGGTGAAATGATGATCTCCGCATGTGTATTTCCCACCGTAACGCATGGAGGAGGAGGTGTGATGGTGTTGGGGGTGCTTTTCTGGTGACACTGTCTGTGATTTATTTAGAATTCAAGGCACACTTAACCAGCATGGCTACCACAGCATTCTGCAGCGATACGCCATCCCATCTGGTTGGAGCTTAGTGAGACTATCATTTGTTTTTCAACAGGACAACGATCCAAAACACACCTCCAGGCTGTGTAAGGGCTATTTGACCAAGAAGGAGAGTAATGGAGTGCTGCATCAGATGACCTGGCCTCCACAATCACCCGACCTCAACCCAATTGAGATGGTTTGGGATGAGTCGGACGGCAGAGTGAAGGAAATGCAGCCAAAAAGTGCTCAGCATATGTGGGAACTCCTTCAAGACTGTTGGAAAAGCATTCCCCATGAAGCTGGTCGAGAGAATGCCAAGAGTGTGCAAAGATGTCATCAAGGCAAAGAGATTAATCTCATTTATTTAACACTTTGTTGGTTACTACAGTGAGGGAAAAAAGTATTTGATCCCCTGCTGATTTTGTACGTTTGCCCACTGACAAAGAAATGATCAGTCTATAATTTTAATGGTAGGTTTATTTGAACAGTGAGAGACAGAATAACAACAAAAACATCCAGAAAAACGCATGTCAAAAATGTTATAAATTGATTTGCATTTTAATTAGGGAAATAAGTATTTGACCCCCTATCAATCAGAAAGATTTCTGGCTCCCAGGTGTCTTTTATACAGGTAAAGAGCTGAGATTAGGAGCACACTCTTAAAGGGAGTGCTCCTATTCTCAGCGTGTTACCTGTATAAAAGACACCTGTCCACAGAAGCAATCAATCAATCAGATTCCAAACTCTCCACCATGCCCAAGATCAAAGAGCTCTCCAAGGATGTCAGGGACAAGATTGTAGACCTACACAAGGCTGGAATGGGCTACAAGACCATCGCCGAGCAGCTTGGTGAGAAGGTGACAACAGTTGGTGCGATTATTCGCAAATGGAAGAAACACAAAATAACTGTCAATCTCCCTTGGCCTGGGGCTCCATGCAAGTTCTCACCTTGTGGAGTTGCAAAGATCATGAGAACGGTGAGGAATCAGCCCAGAACTACACGGGAGGATCTTGTCAATGATCTCAAGGCAGTTGGGACCATAGTCACCAAGAAAACAATTGGTAACATACTACGCCGTGAAGGACTGAAATCCTGCAGCGCCCGCAAGGTCCCCCTGCTCAAGAAAGCACATATACAGGGCCGTCTGAAGTTTGCCCATGAACATCTGAAAGATACAGAGGATTACTGGGTGAAAGTGTTGTGGTCAGATGAGACCAAAATCGAGCTCTTTGGCATCAACTCAACTCGCCGTGTTTGGAGGAGGAGGAATGCTGCCTATGACCCCAAGAACACCATCCCCACCGTCAAACATGGAGGTGGATACATTATGCTATGGGGGTGTTTTTCTGCTAAGGGGACAGGACAACTTCACCACATCAAAGGGACGATGGACGGGGCCATGTACCGTCAAATCTTGGGTGAGAACCTCCTTCCCTCAGCCAGGGCCTTGAAAATGGGTCGTGGATGGGTATTCCAGCATGACAATGACCCAAAACACACGGCCAAGGCAACAAAGGAGTGGCTCAAGAAGAAGCACATTAAGGTCCTGGAGTGGCCTAGCCAGTCTCCAGACCTTAATCCCATAGAAAATCAGTGGAGGGAGCTAAAAGTTCGAGTTGCCAAATGTCAGCCTCAAAACCTTAATGACTTGGAGAAGATCTGCAAAGAGGAGTGGAACAAAATCCCTCCTGAGATGTGTGCAAACCTGGTGGCCAACTACAAGAAACGTCTGACCTCTGTGATTGCCAACAAGGGTTTTGCCACCAATTACTAAGTCATGTTTTGCAGAGGGGTCAAATACTTATTTCTCTCATTAAAATGCAAATCAATTTATAACATTTTTGAAATGCGTTTTTCTGGATTATTCTGTTGTTATTCTGTCTCTTACTGTTCAAATAAACCTACCGTTAAAATTATAGACTGATCTTGTCTTTGTCAGTGGGCAAACGTACAAAATCAGCATGGGATCAAATACTTTTTTCCCTCACTGTACATGATTCCATATGTGTTATTCCATAGTTTTGATGTCTTCACTATTATTCTACAATGTAAAAGATAGTAAAAATTAAGAAAAACCCTTGAATGAGTACGTGTGACCAAATTTTGACAGGTACTGTATGTCTAATAAAATGTATTATTTATTTCATTCAGGGCCATGGCTCCCAGCCCTCCCAGTCTCGCTGCACCCCAACGTGAGCTTTCCCGAGGGCATCGGCGCCGGCGGAGACCCCCTGTCCTTGACCCACTCCCTTGCCCTGTGTGCCATGCTCCTCATGGACCTCCTGGCCGTTGTAGGCAACCTAGCTGTCATGGCCGTCATCACCAAGACGCTGCAGCTGAGGAAGTTCGCCTTCGTGTTCCACCTGTGTCTGGTCGACCTGCTGGCGGCTCTGGTTCTGATGCCTCTGGGGATGCTGTCGGACCGGATCTGGTTGCAAGATGAGGCGCTCTGCCAGAGCTACCTCTGCCTAAGTGTGGGGCTGGTCAGCGCCGCCATTTTGTCTATCTCAGCCATCAACGTGGAGAGGTATTACTACATCATTCACCCGATGCGCCATGAGGTGAAAATGACAGTAAGGGTGGTTGTGGCGGTGTTAGTCGGGATCTGGGTCAACGCTATTGTGATGTCAGCTCTGCCTCTACTGGGTTGGTTCCCCCAGGGAAACCAGGGGGTAGGGGTCGGACTCGGAGGGGGACTAGGGAGTCCCATGATCCCGGGTCCTCCAAGCCAGAGACGTTGCTCCCTACACTGGACCGGAGGAGGAGGGACCACATGGTTCATCTTCATGGTCTTCTTCACTTTTGTCTACTTCCTGTGTCCAGTACTGATCATCCTGGTTGTGTACTGTAACATGTTTAAAGTAGCCAGGGTGGCAGCCATGCAGCATGGCCCCTTACCTACCTGGATGGACACACCTGGGCCCCGCCCTCAACGCTCCGAGTCCCTCAGCAGCCACTCCACCATGGCTGTCAGCTCGGGGGGCCCTGGGGGCTCATGTCCTCCACTCCGCACCCCCAGTCAGAGGACCTTCAAACGGGGGTAAAGCTGCGGCAGTCCTGGTGGCGGTTGGAGGCCAGTTCCTATGCTGCTGGCTACCTTACTTCTCCTTCCACCTGTACTCTGCCCTGGTCTCCACCTCCCCGACCTCCCTGGCTTCGGCCCAGCTGGAGGAAGTCGTGACCTGGATTGGTTACTTCTGCTTCACCTCCAACCCTTTCTTCTACGGCTGTCTGAACCGGCAGATCCGCACAGAGCTGGGCCGAAGCCTGGCCTATCTCTTTAAGTGGGCGGGGCCGGGCGACGGGGATCAGCTGACCAGCCGAGAGGCCTCCATCGAGGAGAACTTCCTCCAGTTCCTCCAGGGGACAGAGTGCAATCTGGAGCCCTGCGGATCCCAGGCACACAGCAGGGCCAGCAGGACTGAGGAGAAGGCGGGGGAGAGGGGCCGTCTTGGAGATGGACCTTGTCAGGACAACACGCCGGGCCAGGAACACACGCCTGTTGACTTCCACATCCCTGGACAGATTATCGAGGAGACCTCGGGAGTCCTTGGAGCAGCAGCATCTGAATCTGAACAATGACATCAACCTGGTCGGAAAACTGCTGCAGGGTGAACAGGACAGTGCTGGACAGTGCCTGAGCTGTGGTATTGGACGGTCATGTGTACAGTAGGCCTGTTTTTTTGGACCAGGCGTCAGAGGTGGAAACACCAAAGCCTTAGTCTGTAGGCCAAGCACCTGTGTAAAGTCCTATGGTGGAAACGGCAGGTAGATGACATGTTATTTAGAACGTCTGGGTATTCTATTTGATGCTGTACTTGATGATTTTGTGTCCACGTTTGCTACAGTTGGATTATGGGACATTATGTGTACCTAGTGAGTGAGACATTGCTTTTAAGCTACAGCTACAGTGAAGAATTCAGGTTATTATTATGTCCTTTACGGGAGATGAAGCAGATGTTATATAGCGGGTGTAGCGAAATACTTGTAAGGAGGTATGATGCAGGGTTGGTGGAAATTCCATTTTAATACAGTAAACTCAGGAAATAAACTGAAAATTCCAATTCCAATCATCCTCAATGCTTTTCTATTAGGTTTACTTCCTAAACTGACCCCAACCCTGGTATGATGACGTCGGTACCCGTTTTCCATTAAGACCAAAACCCCTTCCATCAAATATACACTGCCAGTCTATCTACCTCCCGTGTTTCCTGACAATCAATGTGTCTTTTCCTACAGAGGTATCTTCTGGTTTGGGAGAGAACATTACATTAACATTTTAGTCATTTAGCAGACGCTCTTATCCAGAGCGACTTACAGGAGCAATTAGGGTTAAGTGCCTTGCTCAAGGGCACATCGACAGATTTTTTCACCTAGTCGGCTCGGGGATTACCTTTCGGTTACTGGCACAACGCTCTTAACCACTAAGCTACCTGCCGCCCCGTCTAACATCTGACATGTTAACACTTCACAAGCTTTGTTTTTAGTGTGGACGGCACAAATTATTTTTGGCAGAGGCTGAATGAACCCCCCCCCAAGGAAATCAATGCAAAACTCCGATCCTATAGGCATACATGCAGTAGCGGACAAGGGGTAAGAACCAGGTCAACACAATTTTTTATGAAAGCATGTTTATTCCCTGTTCCAGTCCCATCCTCCCTAATGCAACCAAGAAATGAATGCATATTTAGACGTTTTCTTCGGGTGAAAGAATATAGAGAGCCATTTCTGACTGCACTATGGGCCCTGGTCAAAAGTAGTGTGCTATGTAGGGAATAGGGTGCCATTTTGGGATGTAGCCGATGTGTTAACGGGATCATTTCACAGCTGGTCCTTGCCACTGGTATTTATAGCAAGCAGGCTGGCACGTGAGGTTATTTTTAGACTCCACACTGAATACATTATTGTTCTTATTTGGTCTGTTTATTTAACCCACGTTGGTGTGCACCTGTGATATCACACAGACAACAACTTCTTAACTACTGATTATTTTTATCTTCTTTTCCAAGAGAATGTTGATGCAAGATCATTTGGCACGATTAACAAGTGGTTAGGCAATAATTACTGTTCAGAATAGGTACTGTACAGTCGTGGTCAAAGGTTTTGAGAATGACACAAGTATTGGTCTTCACAAAGTTTGCTGCTTCAGTGTTATGATATATTTTTGTCAGATGTTACTATGGTATACTGAAGTATAATTACAAGCATTCCATAAGTGTTAAAGGATTTTATTGACAATTACATTAAGTTTATGCAAAGAGTCAATATTTGCAGTGTTGACCCTTCTTTTTCAAGACCTCTGCAATCCGCCCTGGCATGCTGTCAATTAACTTCTGGGCCACATCCTGACTGATGGCAGCCCATTCTTGCATAATCAATGCTTGGAGTTTGTCAGAATTTGTGGGTTTTTGTTTGTCCACACACCTCTTGAGGATTGACCACAAGTTCTCAATGGGATTAAGGTCTGGGGAGTTTCCTGGCCATGGACACAAAACTTCGATGTTTTGTTCCCCGAGCCACTTAGTTATCACTTTTGCCTTATGGCAAGGTGCTCCATCATGCTGGAAAAGGCATTGTTCGTCACCAAACTGTTCTTGGATGGTTGGGAGAAGTTGCTCTCTGAGGATGTGTTGGTACTATTCTTTATTCATGGCTGTGTTCTTAGGCAAAATTGTGAGTGAGCCCACTCCCTTGGCTGAGAAGCAACCCCACACATGAATGGTCTCAGGATGCTTTACTGTTGGCATGACACAGGACTGATCGTAGCGCTCATCTTGTCTTCTCCGGACAAGCTTTTTTCCGGATGCCCCAAACAATCGGAAAGGGGATTCATCCGAGAAAATGACTTTACCCCAGTCCTCAGCAGTCCAATCCCTGTACCTTTTGCAGAATATCAGTCTGTCCCTGATGTTTTTCCTGGAGAGAAGTGGCTTCCTCTCTGCCCTTCTTGACACCAGGCCATCCTTCAAAAGTCTTCGCCTCACCGTGCGTGCAGCTGCACTCACACCTGCCTGCTGCCATTCCTGAGCAAGCTCTGCACTGGTGGTGCCCTGATCCCGCAGCTGAATCAACTTTAGGAGACGGTCCTGGCGCTTGCTGGACTTTTTTGGGCACCCTGAAGCCTTCTTCACAACAATTGAACCTCTCTCCTTGAAGTTCTTGATGATCCGATAAATGGTTGATTTAGGTGCAATCTTACTAGCAGCAATATCCTTGCCTGTGAAGCCCTTTTTGTGCAAAGCAATGATGACGGCACGTGTTTCCTTGCAGATAACCATGGTTAACAGAGGAAGAATAATGATTTCAAGCACCACCCTCCGTTTAAAGCTTCCAGTCTGTTATTCTAAATCAATCAGCATGACAGAGTGATCTCCAGCCTTGTCCTCGTCATCACCTGTGTTAACGAGAGAATCACTGACATGATGTCAGCTGGTCCTTTTGTGGCAGGGCTGAAATGCAGTGGAAATGTTTTTGGGGGATTAAGTTCATTTTCATGGCAAAGAGGGACTTTGCAATTAATTGCAATTCATCTGATCACTCTTCATAACATTCTGGAGTATATGCAAATTGCCATCATAAAAACTGAGGCAGCAGACTTTGTGAAAATTAATATTTGTGTCATTCTCTAAACTTTAGACCATGACTGTATACATGTGTATATATGTACTGTATATATAATATCTGAAGGTACTGTATACAGTGCATTTGGAAGATATTCAGACAAATGTAGCTTTTCCTTTTTCATATTTCCACAGCTCCATGCTCATGCTCTGAGCCCTCTCTCTGTCATGGAAGGGAAGCATTGAGTTTCAGTTTGGTTGTTCAAATGTCAACTTCATTCAAAAATGTCAGTTGAGAGTCGGACAGCAGCACACAGCTGTTGAAGCCTCTTATAATGGGGACAGTAGGGACATATTCAAAAGATTAGGGATGCATTCCAAATGGCACCCTATTCCCTATATAGTGCACTACTTTTTAGCAGAACCCTATTGGCCCTGGTAAAAAGTAGTGCACTACATAGGGAATAGGGTGCCATTTTAGACTAAACCAATTGCCAACCTCCACCAATGTCCCTGGTGTTTACAGGTAAACGAGTACCTGACAGTACAGGCTAAGTGTTCTGTGGTGTTTACCCAGAAACACCCACGGCTTGTTGTGGCTACACAGCACAGGTGACAGACAGACAGGTGTGATGAATGATGCTGACACATGGCACGCTTTGGCCTTTGCCCTTTTCCCCACAAGCTCCATTCTCAAAAAAGAAAATCAATGATATGAATAATAGGCTTCATAGATAAGAGAATCAATAGTATCAATTAATCTCTCTATTATACTATGCTATCATTATCTTCTATCTTCTTCTATATATCTATGTATCTATCTGTCTTCATTATCTGTCTATCTCTATCTGTCTCATGTCTTTGTATCATATTATCTCTTCATTTATGCTATCATCTATCTCTCTATATCCTTTCTCTTGTACTCTTGTATCTCATGTCTCTCTGTCTCTCTCTCTCTCTCATTCTCTCTATACTCTTCTCTTCTCTCTCTCTATCTCTCTCTACTCTCTCTCTCCCTCTCTCTCTCTCTCTTCTCTCTCTCTCTCAATTAAATTAAATTCCATTCAAAAGGCTTTATGGACATGAAAAAGTGTTATACACATACATTGCCAAAGCAAATGTGTAAACTCTCTGTCTCTCTCTCTCTCTCTCTATCTCTCTCTCTCTCTCTCTCTCTCGCTCACTTCTCTCTCTATTCTCTTCTCTCTCTCTCTCTCTGTCTATCTCTCTCTCTCTCTCTCTCTGTCTCTCTCTCTGTCTCTATCTCTCTGTCTATCTCTCTCTCTGTCTCTCTGTCTCTCTGTCTCTCTCTCTCTCTCTCTCTCTCTCTCTCTCTCTCTCTCTCTCTCTCTCTCTCTCTCTCGCTCTCTGTCTCTCTGTCTCTCTCTGTCTCTCTCTCTCTCTCTCTCTCTCTCTCTCTCTCTCTCTCTCTCTCTCTCTCTCTCTCTCTCTCAATTAAATTAAATTCCATTCAAAAGGCTTTATGGACATGAAAAGTGTTATACACATACATTGCCAAAGCAAATGTGTAAACTTTTCAAATGATGATGATGCAGATCATCATGATCTCTCTCTCTCTACATCTCGATCCTATCTCGCCTTTCCTTCACTCTCTTTTCTATCTCTCTTTCCTTATCTGTCCAATTTTGATTGATACCAGACTTGTACAAGTCCATTGGCATGATCACAAGATTTAAAACACAAAGCACTCTGGGAAGTTTTAGATTTGGGTGAAAGTTTTGGAGAGAAGAACATAACGTTCCTAATTTTCTTGTGTGTGTCCCTAATGGCACCCTATTCCCTACATAGTGCACTACTTTTAATTTTACTTTTATTAATTTTTTTTGCCATATGGACCCTGGTCAATAGCAGTGCACTATATAGGGAATAGGGTACCATTTGGGATGCAGTTAGTGTGTAATGACTTCAGTGCTGACTGTTGTTTTTCAACAGGGCTGTTTCTGTTTCTAGCGTGTTTATTTTGGATGGTGAGGCGACTCCCAAATGAGTCAAAATCGGATA